TGGACCGCGTCAACTATCCAGCAGCTTAAAACTACCTCACCAAGTTCTGACGCACAGAAAGTGACAACCAACAACCTACAGATGAGTAAGCGCACACGCGAACCCGCAGCGAACAATAAGCGCGTCGATAGACGTACTGGATTGTGGTTACCAAGTAAATGCCCACGTTACCGCATCTAGGTCGACAGTAGCTTGTGGCCTTGCTTCATGCTTAACAATGTACGAATTGGAATGCTGTGTTTCAAATGTCTTGGCGAGTATCATTCTAAATGTTCCAAGCCCACAATGAACCAGTTGCAGCTACACAATAGTAAACCAAATTCTCTGTGGTGCGGTTCGGTATGGATGGTCATCCCACTGGTAATTATCGTACTTGAACTAATGCTGAAATCGAAAGGTTGGGGGCAAGGTCTGAAAAAATAAGAAACATCAAAAGCGATTTATTCAAAGAAAGCGTGACAGAGAGTAAATCCCAGTCATTCCCATTAGGCTCCGCAGTTAAACAGAGGAAGAACGCTGGGCGTCGAGCTAAAATGCGTTACCGATGGTTTTTAACTTGAATGTCACCAGTTGCATAAATGTGAATGAAATTATCACTGACAGTCCGATTGCAATGAACACGGTCAGGGCGTAGTCCACCCTCCGACTGTTTCCGAAATTACAGTCGGACAACAACACTAGTGTCAGTTGGAACTAGATTGTTGTCAAAGGTCACTGAAAGCCTAGACCATCGGCCATTCCTATTGCATCCAAAGTAAATGAGAGAAACGATGCTGTACTCGCATAGCCTCCATCGGCTCTGTACAGATCGGCTTGTCGTTTATCTTCTAGTAGAGTTGCACTTAGCATATTAGCGGTAATCTGCACCAAGTTTTCAGCCTCGACAACAAATTCCTTAAGATGGAAACAACTCGAAGACGTGAAATAGTGGAACTCTGTATGTGACATTATAGTTGTTGTAGCTAAGCCCATCTAGTTGGCACGCGTTACCGTTCCACAAAACTCACAGCAATACCGGGAACGCAGACACCTCTGAGTTGTCTTAACTTACGCCAGTGAACCATAATCTGTCCTGCAATAGATAGCTCGTCTTTCGGAATGGATCATGTCTCATCGGCATATTCCCGAGCACAGACAAGCGAAACACGACGAACGAACACTTGAAGTAATGTGTATCCAAGACAGTGCTAGTAAACGGTGTTCCCGGGGCTGGCGGACATGATATGCGCGAAGCGACCACACACGGCGAAGAACAATGGCGATACATTCGCGACACACTTTCCCTGGAAAACGTCATAGCTCAATCGAACTCGAAGCTGCGCCGATCACCAAAGTACGAAGCATGGGGCCAGAGGATTATGGGAGTTGTCTTGCAATCTAGAGAAAGGTCAGCAATGGTCCTGGAGTGTTGACATGTGGGCCGCAGCAGCATTCCTTCCGAGCTCCGGATCAAAGCATCACCCGCTATGCAAACAGACGCGACAGCGACCATTTAATCAGACCACTTCCCGACAAGAGTTTGGATGAGTTTAATTAACTAACCAACGAAGCTGGCAAACAAGCCAAGTACATCATATATAAAGTGGGAAGCAAAGAGATAATGGTGGAATCCATGATCTAACCTAGCTGAGTTCATTAACGCTCTACCCAAAATATAATTAGTGATCTACCTTTCACAATGAGGAACGATATATTACCTAACACTCTTGTCGCTTGATTCATTGCTAAGAACCGAACAACGTTGCTGCATGCACAGCAATGCACAAGATCTCCTGAGAAAGCTTGCCGAACTGCGGCTTCGTCAAGCGTTCGAAGCTTGGTTGCACAAGGAAAATACAGACGTCGAAGTTGCGATCATGGTATGTCCGTCCTCCGCAACGATTACCCTAGAAAGACTGGAGGTAATGTTTTACTACCGTAGCGACCTGCAGTGCGAATCGGTGGCGGCTTCTAAAACGCTGATCATAGGCTCACTTAAGTGCGGTCTGCGACCGAGATGCGACAACAATTGCCTTTCGACCGTTTTTATCGTCTCCGAAAGTCCAACAAAATAAGAACTATTGCCCGATATACGCCTTGAGCAGGGTCCTACGACGAAGTTACTGTCCCGTTCTCATCCTATATTCACGATCTGGCAATTAGGGTACCCGCACCAGGAAGTTACTGCCGATCTGCAAGAGTAGATGGCCAGCATATCGCAGCTCAGCCATACCAGTTCGACTACCAGATTCAGAACGGGAAATAAAATACCTGTGCTTGCTTGAACGCTCACGAACGAAATACTGGTGATTGAGATGCAATAGAGGATGCATCAAGCTGTGGCGGAGCGACCACGTAACCATAATTTACGACCGTGTGTTATCCGGAGTATCCATATATTAACTTCATCTAACACTCACCCACTACGACATACTGGCAGAAGTTGTGGGAGTTGCCATCTAGGATTTTACGGACTACGGTTCTCTTGACAGTGCTTTGTTGGATTTTGCTCCCAAGTTCAGTGCTCTGATTAAATCTGCATCGGTTAACAAGCCCGTTCGTTCTGCTAGGGTACGATCATTCATTCAGAGCAGAACCCAAAAACACATGACACTAAGAGACGCTGTGTGGCCTGTGTATAGAGCAAACCCTAGCCCTGACAACTGGAGTAACTATGTTTTGCATCGCAATCACTGTACCACACCTGTCCGTGAGGACAAATTAGGACACCAGCAGAGTCAAGCGGAAACATTTTGTGCTAACAAAAAGCTTCAGTACAGCAGGTGAACCGCAACTGAACTGTGAAACGTGGTGTTTCCCAGCTAATATCAGCACATGTATTTGCTCAAATTGCCGAGGATGCAGCCAACGTTCTGCGGCTTAAATATGCCCCAATTTGCTGATGTGCTGCCAACATGCGTAACACACCTGTCCCAATCTTCTAAACACCGGTATTTACACACATTATCCTTAGTTCGGCGACCACTTTGAAGTAACTGCTGTTATTACGCACTCCTAGTTCCCCCAAAGTTGACAACATTCCAGAAAGCACTGCAGGTGGCAGCTAGAAAAATAGCTGAATCCTTGACGCGATTTTTCCAAAGGTGCCTGGACGTACAGCAGATGCGTAATAGGTGGAAGCAGGGCATCATTATCCCGATTTTCAAGAGTGGTAGCCTTTCAGAGCCAGCCAACAATCGCCTACTGATTCTGCTCCCGGTACTCTCACAGGCGATGGAATCTATCATAGCTGAGACTGCAATATGTTACCTTGAAAGGTGTAGGTAGCATCATAGCATCGGAGCAACACGGATTCCATCAGCATCGGCCCATGTACTACCAATCTGCTGATTGCCTGTGGCAGTTGGACCGAGATAGCCGACAGTGGGAGTGGCACTGATGTCATCTAGCTAGAAGTTTATAAAGCTTTCGTCCGCTTAGATCACAGCATTCTTCTCCAAAAACTGCAAGCGTACGGATTTGCAAACCATGTCCTTATATAGACCGGAAAGTTTCTCCTTCTGCAACGCATTTAGGTTTGAGTCCAATTCTCATTTTTTGATCCATTTGTTGTGGACTGCAGTGTTCCACATAGGTTATTGTTGTGGCCGCGCTTATTCTTGGTATACCTCGACAACTTCGCGAGTGTCATCGAAAAAATGTCCTGCTTTTTGCCGATGACATCAATATATGGCGGGCAATAGGCTGTCAGGAAGTTCACGATATGCTACAACAAGACTTAAACCGCGCTTTTGAATGCTCAGATGCAAATATAACTCCGTCTAATACGGACAGGTGTACTACGGTGCATGTCCTCCACAAGCTCACGTATGTATATAAGCTTGGAGGCGACATGTTGCAAAGCCGCCTCAGAAGAGTGAGAACTTGAGTTGGTGATACAAGACGATTTTGGCTGTTCAGAGCAGTGCTTGAATACGTCCGAAATCCCGAACTCACATGTTGGCCTGTTACGGACCGTGTTCGGGCGGTTCGTCCCCTCAATCTTCCCCCAAATACTCAGTGTGTATTTTAGGTCCCACTTAGAGTACGCGATCCAGACTTAGCAACACTGGTTAAAGCGTAAGCTGCTTTCACTGGAGACCACACATCAAAGGGCTACAGTACTTATGAAGGAATTGTTCCATCTGCCATATCATCTGTGACTGAAATCCGTGGAATTGTGCAACAAAAGTTATCGCTGTTTATGTGTGACTTCGTTCTAGCCTACTACCACTTGAAGAACTCCGGTTATGCTAGCAGCCACCTTCTGGAAGAGAAGTAACACAGAATTTATCGGTCACCAGCTACAACTGGCCACCCCATACAGTCGGCTGGAGTACCGCCGGAATTGTTTTCCTGTTCTACAAGTTCAACTGTGGAACGCCTTTTCCATATTTTTCATATCTGCGCCCACGCTACCCATTTTTAAAAAGTCACTTGATGACAGTTTACACCACCTACATGACTTGCTCCGAGTTCTATTCATTGAGTGACGACAAGAAGCAGACAACTATTGTGCTCACAAACCCCAGGAAATCGGGGTAGACTGGTATACCTTTGTGTTAACGTGGATAATATGGTGAGTCCACAGATGCATTTTTCGCTTTTGTGCAAATTTTTTGAACAAACGTTATTCTCACTTGTCAAGCCGTAACTTTTATGCATTGTTCCAATGTACTTGGGGATTATGTCAGACCTAAAGGTTTCGAGATAGCCTGGAAAAGAATTGTAACAATGGTACTACCGAATCCAAGACAACAATGCACAACTATTTGATCTGCAGTTGAAGGATTAGATATCACCTACTAGGTAGCAAATTTGTTGCAAACGTAAAGTCAGAAGTTTAAGCTTATCAAACTTGTCTTGAAGCCCAAAACTAATCTGTAATCCTTCGAATCTCCTGCTGGGCTATTTAATGTATTGTCATTATGCAGCTTGTGAACCAGCGTGGGGGATTGACGCGTGACCCAGAAAGCGAAACAGGTGTCCTGATCCTGGTTGTCAATATGCTACAAACTTACCATCGCGATCAGGCCGTGTGTGTTCGTGCCAAAAGCCAATCACGTGACCTAATTCGTGGATCACAATACCTTTCTTATCACAATTTTTGCCGATCGAGATTGCTTGTGGTTCGTCTTCACTGCGGCGACCCACGTAGGAGCAACAACTGAAGCAAGGGAGGTGGAGAGGTGGAGTGTGTGCGTATGTACATGTGGCAGGTAATATCAAAGGTCATTATCTTTCATAAACCAAATTTAGCAGCTGCTTTGTGCAAGATTGCACCGCCCCTTAGCATGATTTGGATGAGAAAGTACAAATATTTTTCGTTAGCGAAGAAATGCTAATACGCACTGTAGCTTGAAGTGACATATAAAGTCCAAACTACAAGTTTCATCTCATTTTCATAGTTCTGTTTTCGTAACAATAGCACGCATTTGGTTTCTTGCTCATTCTCGGAATAAAATATGGTTTTAAACAAATGGTGAACCCAGCAAGACGTTGCACACGATGAGGATATTCAAGCTATCCGCTTATAATGAATAACACTCACTCAATGTAATATATACTGCAGTAAGAAACTATTCTCTTTAAACCGGATCTGACAGTATATTTTAGGTAAACTGGTACACTAAATTTTCTCTTGATTGAGATTGTTAATATTGGCTAAGGGAATCTACGTTAGCATATCTTGAAAGAGCTTGTAAGCGGAGCGCAGTGAACTAGAGATCTTGGAGATGGCCATCAGCCACTCTCCATCGAGTTCTACCGCTGGTTCAGACTATCTCTACCTGATGAATCAAAACCGGGATGAAACACGCTGTGTAGTGCACGGATGGAAGAGAGCAATACGGACACGGTGCATCCTAGAGTTGTGTCCTATAGAAACTCACGACTTTTTGGTTACATCTATCGTGCTGGAGACTCCATGGGACAGCACATTATAAAGGTTCGTCCTGATCTTAACAATTTCCAACAGGGGATAAGTAAGCGATAACGGTCGCACAACTGTCGTGTCTGTTATGTTAATGTATCAAAGGTTCCTACGTAGTCAAAGATGACTTTCTGTCTTTAGGGTTGATATAGGTATTGCATGGCGCAACGTGTGGCGTTTTCAAATTGATATCAGCACTGAGGCAGAACATTGTTACCACATTAAAAAGAATGCATTTTGCATAAATCGGCAAATTTGGTTAATCAAAACAATAAATTGAGATTTTTTCACGGGTGTAACAAGTCGAATAGAGTGACAAATTCAGATCACTTACCCGCATGCCTTTTCGGTAAAGATGATGTAAGATTTCTGTTGTGGTTCCCGCTCCACGAAGCTGAGACAAGTGTAGTTTTCCCAGTGCCTCATAGCCTTCCTTATGGTGGCTTTGGTTTCGCCTATCAAAGGGAGAAAGATTTGTGATAATGTGAGTCAAAAGTTTATCGGTTGTTTCGAGAATCACATCAATGCAGAAATATGTATGTAAAATTCATTGGTGATCGATGTATAAACAAGCCTCATCTGCTTGGATAGTGACAAATGCGGTTACCACAACTTTACATTTGTATTAGTCGACAAGAACAGGTTTATGCATATAAACAATACTCGTGGGAAAAAAGTTTGGGGGTGTTTTTGGTTGGTCGCCATAAACAGGTGGTCGCTATAGCAGGTTGGACTGTAATACTATAGTGCGAATATTAGTTACATCGACTGGCACTTCTGGAAGACACAGCGGGGCATATTTAAAAAAATATTTGGCCAATATAGATTGTGGAATTCTGTAAAATAACGTTTCGTCATCTCCAGGGGGAATATTAAGCATTATGACGGTTTCCCATGAGAGCACTTGGGGTTCTTCCGGATGGCAGAATTTTGACTAAAAGGCGATACATTTTGCTGCGTAATAGTTGAACAACGAGCACTGCTGTTCTACGGGTTAAGAAACACTGTTTTACAGGTCCCGTTGGTTAGTTTGGTGGGTTATGGAAAAAGAATGAAAAAAGGCAGTTAATAGTTCAGCTGTCAAAAGGATGGACTTATCGTAAGTAATACAGTAACCTTGCACTCTCAGTGTTTGCATAGCTTCAGTAGACGAAAGCAATAAATTCAAGGTATTTCTAGGTAGTAAGATGAAGTGTATTGTCAAGTAACAAGACGCTAGTGGTTGGGCGCGTCATCCAAGCGACTTTGAAATATGGCTATGGTGGGTGCAGAAACAACCGATTTGATTAAAGCCTTCCATGATTGACACACACGAATGGAAAAAATTGTGTACGGTACACCAGACATTTGTACTATTCCGCTAATTTCAGAAGGTGGCCTCTAGTTCTGGTGTTACAGTTGAGTTGCAGTAAAGAGTGTGAAACATGATTTGGCTTGTGTAAGATCAAGTACGCCATAATTAATTCGTCTCGTAGTCGGCGATACGGCCCGCTGAATAGTCCCAAACCTTTCAGCTTCTGATCGTATGGAAGGTAAAGCATTACAATGACGTATTTAAAGGCACGAAGTTCTGGTTGTCCAGTGCAATAACGTCGTGCTTCAATCATGGCTGCCAGACTTTGCATTTGTCCAAGTTGCCCTGTAGCAGATTTCGGATTGACCACTAATGTACCATATCCAAGTTGTACAAGTAAATTCTGATCGGAGTCCGCCTGAATCTGGCGCCATACCTTTATGTCGTCGGCAAACAGCAGAAACTTTGAAGCGATTTTCCGTGCAAACTCACTGATGCATACCAAAAGCAATCGTGGATTTAGAACTGAGCCCATGGGGCACACCAGACTAGACTGGTAAGGAGTCAGATATAGAACGCCGGATTCTAGCTTCTATTTGTACTTGCAGTAGGCAGTTGGCAATCGAGCTCAAGATGGGGTCATCGATCCCGTAATAGTTGAGATTGGAGAGGAGATTCCGATGATGATGATGATGTAAATGACCGAATGCTCTGGATAAATCCAAGTAGATCATGACAACGGCCTTTCCAGCATCAGCTGTCTCGGTTCAACTAATCCGTGAGAGTAATAGATTCGTTGCGCACGATCGTTGTAGACGAAAGCCGTGTTGCTCTAAAGCACTAATGTTAGCCTGTGCTAGATAACACACCAACGCATCGGCAACGATGGATTCGAGAACCTTGGATATTACAGAAAGAAGAGACACTGGTCGTTAGGTTGAAAGTACTGTCCAGCTTTCGCCTTTGTGAATGGGATTTAATAGTCCAAGTTTCCACATCGCAATAATCTGGTTTTGGTCTAAGCAGCGTCGAAAAACTGGGCCATTGGTTTTGCCAGTTGGCTTGCTCTTGGTCTCACTGCCTCTGGGCGAATGGTGTCGACTGCAGGGGAACTGATATTGCGCAGATATGTCAGCTTCTGCAATATATCTTCAGTAGTAAAAGAGCTGTGTGTGAGTCCTAGAGACATGCAAATATAAGTTGACAAATAGCCTAATGGTACGACCCTCCGAAATGGGGGAGCATATTGTGTCCGCAACGCCTTTGCTACTTCTATAGCTGTGCTACTTGGATCATCAATCGTCTGGAGCGGAGAAATTCCCTGCCTCACCTTACGAAGGTAATTGTGATATTACTAAAGCAGTTTGTGTTCAGTGCTGAAAGCTTTGTTATATTCAGCTGATATGCGGCTTTGTCATCTCTGAGCAGTTGGGTGCAGTTATTACGATGGGCTATCTCGTCCTAATTATCTGGCGTTGGTGATGATCTATATTCTTGCCAGACTGCGTTGCCGACAGTCATCCACTTTCTAGCTTTGCTCCTGACGAAAGTAACGGTTCTAGGCCTAGTGAAAACGCTTACCTCTGAGGCATCCGTATCCAATTGTTTGAATTTGCGGACGAAATCAAGCCAAGCAACTGACGGATGGCCTTCACTGAGGAACGACTCGGTTGTGGCACTGCGAAGCTGGGCTAAGCGATCGTAGCACGTTCTGGTGCACATCATCTCATTGTTCTGGTGGCGATACTTCGCATAGCGGATGAATTCGTAACTGATGACTGCATGATCATAGGGAACCAAAAGGCATTCAACGGTCAATACCTCAATCATATGTCCCTCCTTAATAAACACAAGGTCCAGCAACGACAGTCTATTACCTATTCTCAAACGAAGGGGTATAATAAACCATCAGAAAATTCAACACTGGTTATGAGCACATGCAGATCTGCTTTGGATTGTTCTCCAATTGTAGCAGGCGTTTCTAAACAGTATACGTTAAAGTCACTCATGAAAAGTATGGAAGTGTGCTTCCGTTCTTGCCTTCAACTTAATCATATCGCAAGGTGGCAGTCCATTTCCAGTGCAGATTTTGGGGGCGGTACGCCAAAGCTATAAAGCAGCTGTCGCTGCCATGTAATGACAGACGGCACTAAAGAGAATCGAGGAACTGCAAATCGGAACCCTCAAAAGCCTCACACTCTAGGTTGCTTCCGTAAAAATGAACTACCCCTCCTCCTTTCGCAAGCCTGTCCTTTCATTTGAGAGGTAAGTTCGGCAGTGAGACTAGCGTCTGCCTTTCCATTGCGCAGCCATATCTGCGTGCCACCGATGATATGGCCTGGCTTCGAAATTTGGTGATCTTTCAGTTCTACCAAATTATTGAAAGGCCTTGAGCATTGGTAGAAGTACAGGATAGTTTCGCGGTCTCTAGGAGCCAACAGGGAGCCGAAGAAGTCAAGTGTGGTAGAATGCCGGCCGCTACGAGGTCGGTCGTTATTCGTTTTATTGATGCATTGATGATGATACATCATTCGCAAAATGATTTGGCTTGGCTACGTCCCATTTCTCGTCCCGACATACTGCAGAATCGCGTGACCGGGAGGTACTATGGTGTTGCTAAGTAGCCACTATAGGGTTCCTTTTCCAGCTAGGCTCATATCTAATCTCTGCAAGACTTCGGTAGCTTTTAACTGAAGTTCAAATGGAAGGATTTTCGGACGTCGCCACCAACGTTCTAACACTTCCGTCGCTGTCTGCTCTGACTGAACCAGGACTTTTAGGGTTCGTCGTCTGCTTCGTCTAAAATTTGCAACGAGAGGTAGCTGTCTGAGCAGTCGCGCTACGACGTTGTCCAGGTCGTGTTTTACAAATGAACCGTCATTGTTCCAAATCATGATTACCGCCTATTGTCTGTCATTTGACGAAACTTCTGGCATGCCATAACTAAAGATTGTGCTCGGACGATACAGTTTGCAATGTTCTACTACGATTTTAATTTTCGTTTGAGGCGTACTCAAAGGGAACTCAGGTTAGATGGGGGGTTTACGAGGTCGTAGCGCACTGGCAGAGGGTAAAACGATTGCTGCCTCAATGGCCGATTCCAATGTTACGCTAATAATACTGGGTTTGTCATAGTGTGCAGGTTACGGGTGACCAGCATCTCTGACTAAGTTTGTTAGTTTGCCTCTTACGTTTCTCAAAATGCACAATGAATTCCACTGGTCTTGGTCGTTAGACAACTTGCCCCGCAATGTAATGTCGGTAGATTCGGGGATATTTGTGCACACGACAGTCATAGCGTTATTGACCGACCCCATTTTTGTTGAAAGGCAAGGTCGGTTGCTCCTTGAGCCTGGATTTCTGCCAATTGATGATGATCTACTGTTTATCATTTTATTGATTTTAGTTGTGTTTGATACAGAGAAGACACTGAATGTAGCATACCGAGAGACTTTTGCAGCGATCGCTGCTTACGTGACCGGAGTCTGTGGGTATTTGAACTTGACCAGAGACTCTTAGGTTACAGACGCAGTAGACTCGGGTTCGGCTGTCTCAACCTTATAGGTGATATATTTCCAAGACCGACTGAATTTGTTCGATCACACATCTCGGGTGGTACCTGATTTTCGTGGTTTTGAGCACCGTTGGTCTATCACAGCTACGATCTGCTTCCGCTTGGCGTTCATTTAAAAGCGTAGGGGATAACGACAATGGTGCCCTTGTCACTCATGGTTCAAGCGAAACAACTGTTGCACCATTGCTTCTGATGCAACTGTGTTGTCCTGATGCACATTCGCTTCTAGTGATATAAGCTTAGTGTTCGTTCTTTGTTCTAGTTTTTTCTTAACCGATCATACATTTGTACTAAGAGAATTATATAGGTAACGAGTGGGATGGGCGAAAACGCAGCACAAAACCAGAGATAGCCTTGGGAGCTGTTTCGATCTCTCATGTGTTGTTGGTGATGAGTTACACACTTTGGATGATACAATTTGCACTAGTGTGAACAGGGTAAACCAAATTTGACTAATGGGTTACCTTCAGCTGACTTACATTTACCCGTTGACTGGAACTCTTTTGGATTTGCATCAACTTCGCTTCCGCTACTCGGCCTATTGTTGCTACAATAAGCTATTCGACTTTACATGCTTTTTAGACAGGTAGATTTCGCACTCTACTCAGACGAATAGATGCGGACACACACTGCCCACGGTGGAAGTTAACCGATTATTTTGAGAACTTTCTTACCAAAGGAAGGTGTTCTGCCCAAGAAAGTCCTAATATCACTGATGGGCTAACACGGAAAATATGCATTTTCTTGTCACTCGAACTCGAGCTGCTTCTAAATGTATTCTCTTCCGCCGGTGCATATTTTAATTGGAGCGCCGAAGCTAAGAGGATAACTGGGAGAAAAATGCAATGTAATGTATGGTTATTGTGATGATAGTACTTACTACGGTAGGATGAGTTTTGCAGATGACTGTTTGGCTTTAGTGGTATGGCTGTCTTTCCCTGACGACATGCTGAGTTTTCCCCTACTTGTATAGCCACAAGTCGCACTCATCTGCGAGGCAGTAAACCCACGGGCTCTAGTCCCACATATTGCTGTATTCAAACGCAGGGTAAACACGCACTTGTTTATCGGTTTATTGGCACTTTAAGCATCAATGCTTCTTTGGTCACTGACAATGAATAATTGGATGAGTGCTTTTGTTGTTTACCCAAATGAGGCCAGAAAATGATGCCCACGGAAGTGTTCTACTCGAAGTCTTGACTGAAATATGGTGGATGAACAAGTCTGCTACAAAGGTGGGCACTCAAATGACAATTGCTCAAGGATATGGATACGCATTAGGAGAGATTACAGAGCTACTATGTAAGCATATCTTGCTCCACCGACAGGCAGCGGATTAGAAATGGTAAATAGAAGTATGTAAAACCCAGAATGACAAATTTAGTGCATAAACAACCGCCAGATCATCTGATGGCACATGGTGACTTATCTCTAACCCAACATTTCTTGGTGACCCTTGTGTCTAATTTTTCGCCAGACATCTAAGGGGGTTTTGGTGGCTCAAGTCGTTCATTTGTTTTACTGAACAGTTTGCTTAATTTGGTACCTTTGCTATAAACTTTTCTTCACCAATAAATGTAACACCAGTAGTGCACTGACTTGTGGTTCCGACCTGTTGTATAGTAACCGACTGCTCACGTCACTTCGGAAAGTGACGATCTGTTTGCGGCGAAATTGTCAAGCTCAGCAAGCAGTCAGAGCAGAAACTTTTCACTTAATTAAGAGTTAGCGCTTGGTGATTATAGTAAAGGCCGCATGTACTGACGTTTTATGAAATTGATTTGAGATGTTAGTGTTTACCACCCTCTGTAATCTATCCGTGTATATCCACGGGTATAATTAGATACCCGTTGGCAGAAATGTTCACCTGCCCCGATTCGACCTCCCGGTTACTTAACTAAGCAAGTTTTTCACCAAACGCGCCTGATTATCCAACCTACCGTAATGTTGAGATACTTCGAAAATACAGTAAATGCACGGAGCATGAGTTCAATTAAAGAGTTATTTGCGGTTACCACCGACACTGCCCCCAATCAGGGGGAAACAGATTAGTATGATATTCGTGCAGGACAGATATTGTACCCTACTCCATATAAACTGTAGATTACTCAGAGCCTATTCACATTCAGCATCCTATCACTTAGTTACATCAAGCCCTAAAATAACGTACTTGAGAAATTAGCCTGGATGACATAAGGTATCACTCCGTTGGGCCAAGTTCGCGATACATAAGCTGTAGCAGCTCGTTTGGTTCTTCGCGCTCTTCTTCTGGCCGAAGTCACTCGTTGCAATGCCGCATGCCGATCCACATGTCTTTGATAAACCTGCCATCGTTTGTTTGGAACATTCTGGTGAGTTGCACTTTGAGGTTGTTGGCCTACTGTGTTCCGGCTGTTCACTTGGTGATTTGTAACGCCTAAGATATCTTCGTTTGGCACATGAGTAGTTGGATTCTGTCGCAAGCGATTCCTGGGATAGGTGAAAGGAAATAATCAAACCATAAACTTGGATAGTCTTGTTTCATCAATTCGGATGGCACTAAACGTCAGGAATATTGCTACTGGCATCCGTTGCCACTTCCTAAGAACTAGGTATAAATAAATGAGCAGCAAACACAAAGTACAAAACCAAGCTCAGCCTTATTTCACGTGGTTAGAATTAATTGGTTGGTTATCGCGCCAACTCCGCTGTCACTCAGCAGTTACAAGGATTATGTGATTGCCTTCCACGTGAATTTCAATCGGTGCGCGTTTGGGATACAAACACTGGGGAACGGTCAAGTTGATCAGTTTGTAGGTTTACGCTGGCTCGATTCAGCTAGCTAACCCAAAAATCTGTAAAATAGGCTGAGGCTTTAGATAGTAATTGTTCGGGTCCTACCCACGACTTGATTGATTATCTATGCTACAAACATTTTCCAAAGTTCTTCTCAAAGAGTGAAAAACGCCGTTCAACCCTCAGGCGATCAGGTAGCACTACCTGATAGCGCAATTTTGAAAAACCTTTCACGAAGGGATATTTTAGTCAAAGCAAATATTGGCTAGGTAGCAATGAGATGAAGTACTGGAATATCAATCACGCTACTATGTGTTAAGTAACTCATTCTTGCCTCCCAGAAGGAAACTGTGTCTATACAGGTGCCGTTCTAGTCAGCCTGGATTACGGCTTCGACATTCCGTATGAACGACAGTTTTTGTAAGATTCTGGGTCAACCACATCACCAAATAGGACAAGAAACATAAGAAAAGCAAATTATGCACATTCGTTAAAACTTATGGGAACCATGTGGCTATGATAATTCCAACCCTGTATGAAAGGTGGCTAGCATTTTCTGTTTATTTTTAGCTTATTTTAACCAGTACAGTGATGGCAGGAGAGGTTGGAATTGTCATCATAAAAGAATTACAGTTTCCGCTTCAACTTATGGTACAAGGTACTAGTCGTGTAATGATTCAAGTCGGTCTCAATAAACTAGTATTTAATAATATTACCAGCTTCGGTTTAGTGGGAAATCGAACCGCCTAGCTCAGGCAACAGCTCTGCATTAACAACCGTTTTTGCGGAACCTCATCCTTTGTATAGCACTAACTGAAACTTTGGTGAGTTGTGCGATCATTGTTTGTTCAGGGGTTTAACGCAGTAGGACTAGAGCAATCAATTAAGCAGGGTGGATTAAGCTCCTGCTTCGCTAGAACGATATTTAATGAACCTAAATCAAGGGGAGAGAAGATGGACAGTGGATGTTCATGGATGATGGATAGGTTTGAGAAGTGCAGACAAGTTCATCTAGGAATGACTTAGGAGACGGTATGCATGAGACAAGGGATGATTCATCTGTTGCCAAAAATTTTACTACCTTCATTTGAAGCAAGACGCAATGGTGGAAGAATCATGATACGGTATGACGGTCACACATGAAAAGTCTAAACGTTAGCATCTGTGGTGTATCTGCAAAAAGTCAACAGTCAAGTTTATGTCTACGTGCTTATGGTTTCGTCTCCTGAACCAATATCCTATCATCCATTTGACAGACTGCTGAACTAGCTAAGTGACAGTAACCTCCTGATTACCAACCTAACAGGCTTTGCTCATGTATGTACATATAAGAATAACGTAGTCATTAGTAGTCCCCGGCAAGTGCAGTAATACTTTAGCAGGTAACTATAACAGATAACTAAATAAAACAAAGTCCAAAGTGAATTTATTTTTAAAGTACATGACTGAATGCGACATGCGATCTTATTCCAACCTTTAAAAGAAGCCCAGAAGAAAGTGAATATAATATCGCGGTATAAGTCTTTGAGTTGAAGTTTTAAGTATGATCATCTCCGAATAGCATAAAGATAGTTAGCCGTAAAGAAATTAAGGCAAACGTAGTATGCACGTTGGGCTTACAGAAACCTACATATTTCGTGACTTGTAGCGAGGTTCGAATTCAGTCGGGTACGACGAAGAAGCCTTCCTTTTTCTTGAAGGTTGTTTTAGTAGTATTATCATTTAAATGTGAGCAGAATCTCGTTTGTCGAAAATATGCATGCGTCTAAACAGTTTCGACTTGTCTAGGCTACTTTTTTCTAGCTGATTAGCAACTATTCCGGTTGTACTTCTATGACAATTTTAAAACTATCTTGGGACTAACATTTGACGATATGACGGATGGGAATTCAAGAAAATTTTACTGCAAACACAGCTTCCGCACCCTGGACTTGCGTCTGCCGATAGCTAACATTGGGTCATGCGTAGCGAGTTGGTGACTACCAATCTTTAATACGTGTCCTATACGTCACCAGTTCAACATGCGAAGACAAACAGACTGGCTATTGGGTGTTGCCTGCCAGAAAACACAGCTCTCCATGACCAGTTTGGAAGATGTTTATCCCAAAAAGTAGAGATAGCAGGTACCCAAAATTCACAATCAGACAGTAAACGTTGTGGCTTAGGTAAAAAGGTCCTTGATGACATCCCAAAGACTCAACGTTTGGGTGCCTGTAATCTTTATCTGATGAAATAAGATAAATTCGAATCCGGTCACGAAATGTTGCCTTTTCGGTTGGGCAACACCAAATAGCCACCGCATCAGATGCGGTTGCAGTGATCGATGTGCCCAGCGTTCACTTTAATGCGAATTTCTGCCCACACTGAGATGACGCGTTGCAATCCATTCAGAAAAGGAATGATTAAAATATATCTTCCAAACCAATGAGACTGCTTTTCTCCTCATTATACTCTGACTTCAAATGGACCTATGGTGGCTATAGTTCGACAACGCTACATCAAGAATTTGCAAAATCCAACACAGCTTGAGGCAGCTGCTTTTATGTTGCTAGATGGATACATTAACTTTTACAGATGTTTTGATTTTTGGTTAACTTTGGCACCAGAAAATGGCCAGACTGATACTCGAAGCGTTGGTCCACCAAATAGAAACCTGAAAATTTGGTCAGCAGTTTACACTGCTGTGAGACCGATGGCTTTTCCCGGGAATTCGTGCAATATACTATGAATCAAATTAGATTTATTTACTCCTACTTCAATTGCAACAAACACTTTCAATTCGGAATAGTCACATACGTGGGACTGAAATGCATTCTTATCGTTCACCCAGCAGTGTGCGGTGATCCGGACTGGCGTCAGGTGCTCTTCCCCCATCATATCAAGTAGAAAATTCCGACTGTCTCCTTCCCACGTATTGAGGCAAGATTTACATCACCCCGCATACAGGTTACACCGTATGTGATCCACTGTATACCTCGGTCTACTGTCGGCATAAGAATGCGCCTTTAGGCTGCACAGAACATGGCGTGTTAATTCATTCTCTAACACTGAAAGAAGTTGGGTGAAGTCTACTCATGACGTAGAACATCATCTATCCTGGCTGTTTGTAAAAGTGGTATGCCAAACGAGATTCATAGGATGGCATGGAGACGATTTCTGTAAGGAATAACAATAATAGCCCCTTTGAAATAACTCCACGGCAGGTCCAAATGTCTATATACCTCGTAGGTCGAATCCATTTTCTGCTGCTGACGAACCGCCATGAAAACTGTCGTTAAAAGTAAGCACACCTCAAGATTTTGATGTTACAGCTCTACAGCATTCGAAAGCAAACTTGCTGAAAAGTGTTGATTACCACAATCGCGATAAGATTGACGACTGGCAGATGTAAAGTTCATGTCATTAATTAAGCGAAACTGGCCTCTATGAATTTGGTAAATGCTGTGCTTGGAATAACACCAGAGAAATGATGAAATTAGAGTGAAAATTTCCGTCTTTCACGCTTCTATAATTCTCAGTTGGACTGTATGGGCACGCACAAATAGTTGAGAGGATACGTCACCTTTATCAGCTATCCAATCCCATTAAAGGTCTTCTATTGCCAGAACGCAAACCGAATATTCAAATGCTGCTAGCCACTAGTGAACATCTGTTTGAACTTTAAATAGCTCTCTTTTGATACCATCATAAACTTTTGATAAAACAATAGGTCTACGTTGGTTCAATACAACTTGATGTTGATACTATGACTTGTGCGATAGGGTAACTTTTGTCCGCTCCCATGAAATTAATATGCTGGAAACTTCCAAAAATACTTGTTTTAGGCCGTTAATATGTGAAAATTCTGTGGTTCTCTTAATTTACAGACGACTGTAAAATTTCCAAAGCAAAACAAGTTGTAGCTCATATAGGTGGGGTTAATAATTTCTAAATTGAAATCCATTAGCTTAAAAGGTGTGTTGAAATATTTTATGCATGGTCTATTACTGATTACTGATTAATGCTTGGAAGCATCAAGTAGGGTTTGCTCTGTGTAGCTGCATCTAATGTTACTCAGGGACAAAGATCCGTCATGTTGCGTTCCGGTCGATATATTTCGCATCGGCGAAGTATTTGTCCAGGAACTTCTTAAATTCCGACACTGACTTTGCCTCAACTACATGCTGTGGCAGGCCGTTCCATACATACACCACTGCATTCGAAACAGACTTGGTGAGCGACCCGCTTCAAATCCGGTACGACAAGTTGGTACCGGTATCCTCGTATGCGGCCTGGTGTGCGCAGATGAAGCAGCAGTCTCAACATAGGGTAATCACCCAGATGTAATATCCGGTGCGTCATGATGAGATCAACCCGCATTCGACAATAAGCTAGGGTGAACAGCCCTAGTTTCTTACACCGGTCTTCGTACAGAACACCTCGTAAGTTGAGAATCAGTCTGGTGGCTACATGTTGCACTCGCTCAATATTTTCTACCTCGCCCCGGGTGAAAGGACAGTACGCCGGAGAGCCATACTCTAGCATAGGTCGTGTTACTGAGACGAAGAGGCGAGTGGCAATCTCTTCGGACCAAGTGCTGAAGCTGTTCCTGAGCGGCCAAAGCATACGAAGGTTGTTTTGGTAAAGCCTATTCGTATTGTTTATGGAATTTAGGTCGTAGCTTGCGAGTACAGCGAGGTCGCGCACGAAAGCGC